AACAAAGTTCACATTGCCCAGAGAGCCGCACTGAAGGGCCCTCTGAGGTCAGAATGCAAGACCAAACAAAACGAACGTGCCTGCCACATCCATCATCTTGTAATCTGCTTCCAGTTCTATAATCCCCAAATGTCCAGACTGTGCACACCAAGAACACTGAACATTCCTCTTCGATGTAGATCAAAATGGTTTATGTAGAAAGGACTCTAACTACCTCCTTCACCAGCAAGAAAATCATTAACCACTTCTACAAGTCAAACAGACCTGGGACTGCAGACATCTGCTCAAATCAGGTGGCTAGGGACGCAGGAGTTTTCATGACTCTATCACAGATGTTTCTTCATATACCCTAAACATAAAATTTGATTTGATCTAAGAACAAGGAATACACTGTTAGTTTTTCAGTGACTGCTAACTGGTGAGGGCATGTAAGCAAGATGATACAGCTATCATTGTACTGAACGGTATCACAAGCATTCAGGGAATAAATGTTTAAAAAATCAATCAGTAGGATTATATGCATTTAAAATTGTAACACAGTATACTGCATTTTATATTGCCATGGTATTACTTTTCATTTTACTTTCTGAGCATATTATAAGTACCTAAAAGGAGGTATTGCTACCCATTTCATTCAGGAAGAAAGGAGATTCAGAGACATAGTGCAAGGGGAAGCTCAAGGTCATGCACAACTCATGATTGGGCTGGGCTGGGAGAAATCCACCGCACATTCCTATTTTCCTCTCGTAGTTGATACTACTTTCTCTGTCTCACCCCAAGATGGAGCCTTGTTCTGTCACCCAGGGTGGAGTGCAGTGGCATGATCTCGGCTCACTGCAACTTTCACCTCTCGGGTTCAAGTGATTCTCCTACCTCAGCCTCCCCAGTAGCTGGGATTACAGGTGCCCACCACCACACCCAGCTAATTTTTTTGTATTTTTAATAGAGATGGGGTTTCACTATGTTAGCCAGGCAGGTCTTGAACTCCTGACCTTGTGATCCACCTACCTTGGCTTCTCAAAGTGCTAGGATTACAGGTGCGAGCCACTGTGCCTAGCCAATACTATTTTCAAGATTTTACGCTATTAATCCCTAATTCCCTCAAATATTTTACCATAAAGATTTCACCATAAGATTATTCTATACTATGAATATTCTAACTCAGGGTATTTTATGTTCTGATCATTTAAACTCCTGATGTCTGAGGAGAAATGTTATTAGTTATAAACTGAACTAGCCCATTTGACTTAGGAGTAAGGATTAAAAAGGATGTGGATGGCATTCTCATTTTTAAAAAATTCAGACATTAGGTTCAGTTCTCTGTACTAATAGTATCCACACTGATTGTTCAAGAGTGACACCAAAATATGCATTTATCTTAGCAATGTTAGAAATGGCTGCTAAATAAAAAACAGAAAAACATTACTCTGGTTTGCAGGCCAGGGATTTTTGCTACAGACTGAATGTACCTCCCCAAAGCTCATTTTGAAGCCAAATCCCTAACGTGATGGTATTTAGATGTGGGGCCACTGGGAGGTGATTAGGTCATGAGGGTGGAGCCCTCATAAATGGGATTAGTGCCTTTATAAAAGAGGCTCCGGAGAGCATCCTTGTCCCTTCTGCCATGTGAAGTTTAAAAAAATACATGTGGCCATCTATGAATCAGGAAGTAGAGCCGCTACCAGACCCTCACTCTACCAGCACCATGAGTTTAGACTTCCCAGCCTCCAGATCTGTGAGAAATAAATTCTGTTGTTTACAAACTACACAGTTTCTGGCATTTTGCTACAGCAGCCCAAACAGATGAAGACAGATTTATAGTGGTAAGACTTTAATTCCTCAAACAATAGCTAAATGAGTAGTATTGTGTGTCATAAAACAATACTGCACGCATTGTTTTGTTTAGTCCTTACGTAGCCTTTCGAAGTTTTCTGTCCCATTACTGATGAAGAAATTGGGAAGCACTGAAGTTCCCTGTGGAAATCACATACACTTACATCACAGAGCTGAGGTCCGAAGCCACATGCATCGTATTTCAACCATCCTGAAAGATACCACTGACATTTGGGAATCTGAAAAATGTCAGCATTCCTATCCCTCCCCCAACCGAGTCAACCTCTGAAGTCCATTCTTGTAATGTGAAATGATGAGATTATTTCAAAACAGAAAGTGCAGAAAGTTAACTTATTATTCATTGCCTCTCATAGGAAAACCAAAACCTGAATAGGAAATGGATTTCAATAAAGAGCAGGAGGTGGGCTGTGCATGGTGGCACATGCTTATGACCCCCAGCATTTTGGGAAGCTGAGGCGAGGAGACGGCCTGAGCCCAGGAGTTTGAGACCAGCTCTGGCAACACAGTGAGGCTCCCCATCTCTACAAAAGAAAAAAAAATTTTGCCAAGCATGGTGGCGCACCTGCAGTCCTAGCTGCTTGAGATGCTGAGGTAGGAGGATTGCTTGGGCCTAGAAGGTTGAGGCCACAGTGAGCCACAGTTGTGCCCCTGCACTCTATACTGGATGACAGAGTGAGACCCTGTCTCAAAACAAAAAACAAAACAAAAACAAAATTGAAAAACGAGGCTATGAAGAGGGGTACCACAGAGGCAAGGGAGGCAAAGGCTTCATGCCTTGCTGTCAAATGTATAGGAGGAGGGCAGAAGAGAAAGGACTGTTCAGTAACAACCTAGAAGTTAATATGAATTTTGTTTTTAATCTTTTTTTTTTTAAAGAGACAGGTCTCACTTTGTCACTCAGGCTGCCCCAGGAGTGCAGTGGTGCAGTCTCGGTTCACTGCAACCTCTTCCTCCTGGGCTGAAACGATCCTCCCACTTTAGCTTCCTGAGTAGCTGGGACTACAGGCACACACCACCATGCCAGGCTAATTTTTTTTTTTTTTGGGGGGGAGAGACAGCATTTTGCCATGTTGCTCAGGCTGTTCTTGAACTCCTGGGTTCAAATGTTCCTCCCACCTCAGCCTTCCAAAGTGCTAGGATTACAGGCATGAGCTACCATGCCCAGCCTGTTTTTAATCTTTCATTCAGTAAATAGATACTGATTCTGTATATCCTCTGTGCCAGGTGCTGTATTGAATCCCAGCAGTATGAGGTGACTAAGTGGCCTGCCCTCCAGAACTCAGTCTGGAGAGGGAGACAGAGACCTGAACAAGCAACACCATATGCTGAGCACCAACCTGCAGGTATCTGGACGTTATGGTACAAGCACTGGGGACTGACTCCCTAGGAGGATTAGGGGACACTTTGCAGAAGTGACATTTGTGCCGGGGTCACAAAGAATGAGGAGGAGTTTTCCTGATAGAGAAGGGATAAAAGGCCATCTAGGCAGACCATATTTCCAAAGGCATGGGGGTGAGAGATCAGAGAAACCGTGACATGTCCTGGAAATGGAAGGTGGTTCTCTGGCTGGAACACGGGATGCCTGGTGGCAGTGGCAGTGGTGGTGGTGGCAATGGTGAGATAGTGTAGGAGATGTGGGCAGGGGCCAGGATTCCAGGTCTGCCAAGAAGGGTGGTCTGCATTCTGTAAACTGTGGGGAGCCAAAGGCTTTTAGATGGGGAAGTGACAAGTGTGTGATAAGGTCACTTGGATAGCCTTGTGGAATAGAGAGGAGAAAGCCAGGCAGGTGGCAGAGAGGCCAGCTGTAGTGAACTCTACTTGGAGAGATCCTTGCAGCTCAAAGGTCCTTGGTGACCCTAGAGTCTAGCTCTCCACTTCATGAGTAATAAACGGAGGTCTGGAAAGGTTATGAAACTTGCACAAAACTGTCGGGCTGGTAACACAGCTGGTGCCAGAATGAAGATCTTCTGTTGGCTGCGGTGGGATCCTTTCCACCTGTCTAGACTACCAAAGAAAACGAAGAGGTCTGAAGCCTGGTTTCCCTAGTAGTCCTAGTAGTGGTTTTAAGTTTATCAGATTAAGACACCACCGCAAATGTTAGAAAGCAAGAGAAGGTGAAAGACTGAAGCATGGTTTTTACGTCATCTTCGATTCCTCCTGTCTTACACATCAAGTAAGTAGTTAAAGCGACACGGTTTATAGAATAAAATGACCAAAAACACAGACAAAGGAACAGAGGGAAAGTGCACAGCTACCTTCTAAATCAACCAAATTAATTAAGTTTTGATCACACATACTGAAATGCAGACACGCAAATAAAGACCTTTTTGAGTAGCCTGGATCAATTCTTTCTAAGAGCAGATGGTCACTACTTGAGCTATGCTGTGTACAAAGAAATCCAGTTGGCAAGAAAATATTTCATCCACAGAACTATGATTCACAGAGTTAGTCCCTAGAGTATCTGCCCCAAAGTAACCTGGGATGATTACCACAGTTACTTCAAACTGAGATTCTAAGTCTAATACTCTTGCCCCTGGAATCTGGACAGGGAAGTGAGTCTATTCTGTTTCACAGAACACTGAGCCCTTTCATAATTTCATTCCAAAGAGAATAATCTACATAAAGAACTTATTTTCAGGATAGGCACAGATTTTCTGACACCTGCCCCTTTCCCAAAGGGCCTGTAAGGCTTCATATCAGCATGAAGTAGTGGCGTGTCAGGAGAAATCTTGGAGCTGCCATGTCGGCAAAGATTCTTCCTCCCAATGGGAATCAGACCAAGTTCCCTGTTTGAGTTAAAGTGAGGAGCGAGCCACGGAAGAAGGTATCTGTGTTTTCTCAAACTGCACATCACATTGTACGTAAGAGTCATTAAAAAAAAAAAACACACAACAGAGCACACCATGTCTTCAATCGGTCACAGATGGGAGAAAATCAGCCACAATAATAAATTCGCGGAGGTGGCGTGTGTCGTCACACACGGAGCCAGGATGTGTGATCCAGAAGGTGTGTGTGGGGGAGTTAATACCATATGTCATTTGAATGCGGTGAGCCTGCTCCCAAGTCAGTAGCAACGTGTTCCTCCAGAACAGCTCCGATGCCACCCCTGATGCCATTGCATTCTGCCAAGCCTACATGACTCTTACCAGGTACTGAAGTCGCTGGCGCTCCGTCTCAGGGGTAAATTCTGAAGACATGGGGATAATTTCTCCATTTCTGATGATTATGGCCCTGAAATGGTGAAAATGCATTGTCAGTAGCCCATCTCATAAATGCTCTGATTCTGTCACAACCATTGCTTGGTTCAGATCACACATGAAATGCCAAGAGATGCTTTTGTTCTCCCACTTGCACAGCAGAGTTCACTGTTCCCATCTCTGGATCCCTCACAACATGGGAGGCATTGCTCTTTGAAGTGCACTGCATTCCAGTTAGCTTATGTTTACTTTTTCTGCTAGCCGGAACTGTGCCTTAATGCTCCACCACCAAACATACTTCTTGGCACAAAACAAACGCTCAGTGAATAAACGGATGGATGGATGGATGAATGATGCAACAGTCTTGCTCGAGCCCAGGGTTATCCAGTGGAACCTTCTGTGATCATGGTAATGCTTTTGTCTGTGCAGTCCAATATGGCAGCCACTAGCTACATGTGGGTACTGAGCATTTAAATGGTGGTTAGTGCAGCCAAGGAACTGCATTTTTAATTTTATTTCGGTTTAATTAACTTAGCTTTAAGTTTAAGCAGTCAGATATGGCTAGTGTTTAATGTAACAGATAGTATAGTCCCCGATTCCCGTTACTCAAATGATCCTGTGGGCCAGCAGCATTGGCGTCACCTGGGAGCTTGTTAGAAATGCAGAATCTCAGGTACCACCCCTGACTTACAGTATCAGAATCTGCATTATGATAAGATCACCAGGTGATTCATAAGCATATTGAAATCTGAGAATGTGTGGCCTACACTGTTGAGTTTCTAGGGTGATATCCTGGGTCCATGGGGAAAAAAAACCCACTCATCTCAAGGCTCAGGAAACTCATACACTCCAAAAAATGTGTATAAAGAGCTAATGCCCAGTTGAGGACTTCTGAGAGAACAGAGTTCTCTGAAGCAGATGTCTGCAGGAGAGGCTGTAGGATCGATAACCATGAGCAACCTTTCCTGGGCCTATTCCCAGCGGTGCCTCCTGTTCTTAGACCTTCTGATTCCAAAGTGGTTCCTGACAGCCACTTTTCAGCTATTGATTGGTTGTAGCAGAATGTTTCCATTTCTACAACAAATGGAAGTGGCTTGGGGAATTGCATTCTATATGAAACCAACAGCTTCCAGGCATCAGGGAGCTAGAGACCTGAGACCTGACAGGCTTCTCGGTGAGGAGCCACCAACCTGGGAAATGCCTTCGATCAGCTCAGATCTGAGTGGATGCCTCCTTGATTCTAGGGAGGCTGCATTCTTTGTGCCAAGAAGCCTCTGGGCATCTCTCCCTCCCAATGCAGAGGCAGTCCCTGACTTGGAAACAATCCCTAAAATGGCTACAGCTGTCATGACCCCACCCCCAACCCCTCACCACCTGTGCCCTAATTGCTGCTGTCATAGAAACTGGAGTGGGGGAGTCCAGCCAGGGAAGGAAATGATGATCAAAATCTTAGGGGCTTTAGAGAACTTATGACTCTAGGGAGAAAAAAAAAAAAAGCAGAGGAAGATGTGAGAAAATGGCAAAGTTTAGGGGAACTGACTGTGAGATGAGGCCTCTTATAATACTCCTTGTTACTTTTATTATGCTGTCTGAAATATGATAAGTGAAAGATTCCTTCTTATAAACCAGAGGCACTTGTAAAATGCAGTCACTACCACCCCAACCCCATCAAGGTGTTATCCACCATTCACTAATCAGTGTGAATTAATTCCAATGGTCTTTGCCCTTCTTATCAGGTGAGTCTGACTATAATAAGGGAGTAGGAGTTTTGACAGGGCCGAGAAAATTTGAAAGGGGGTGGGTGGCATCAGGAAATTCTAGGTTTGGGTCTAATCATACAGGATCTAGAGGGCCCCTGAGAATCCCAGGGAGCTGGTGTGATAAATTCCAAAGGTAATCCCCTCTTTCAAGATTTTGCCTACAGCTACCTTTAGCTTTTTCCTTTTTTTCTGCACAGCCCCTGAATTGCAGTGGAATTCCCAGGTGTGAGCTAGGAAGAGCCAGTGATGCCCAACCAGGCCAAGGAAGCGTCTCCTCCAGGACCTGAGTGTCAGGAGCTCGGGGGCCTGGGAACTCCAAAGGCTTAGGTCGCGTCTGTCACAGAGCAGGAGCCCAATGAATGTTTGTTGACTAAGAGCAGATCAAAGAACTTAGAAGAAACTGTTCCTTGAATTTGAGGCAGGAAGAGAGAAGAACTAAAAGGCAGCAGATGTTCACTTAACCAAGTCACATGGGGTGGATTTTACAGAGGAAAGAGCGTCCTTCAGCTAGAAATTTGTTGCTCCTCAGCTCTCTTTTCCTCTTCTCCTCCTGACCGGAGCTAGTGTGTCTGTCACTTCCTACACCTCAAGGTTCTCCCGATGTCAGTCACTCCCACTCCTGTATTTCTGACCTCTCTTTCCACTGGATCTCTGCCCACAGAACAAAACCATGCTAAAACACTCTTAAAATCAAGGCAAGAGCAAAACCAAACAAATGATCCTCTCCTACTCCAAACTCCACCTTTGAAATGTCCTTTTTTCTTTCCTGAGAACCTAAGCCTTATAAATTGACAATAATCTACACTCAGGGTCTATCTACTTCCTCACCTCCCATCGATCCCTCAGAGGTAAATGAACGTCTTGCCTCCCTCTACACACAGCTACTGTCACCAGAATCAACGGCCCTTTCGTTGCTACAGCTACAGGTCATGTCATTGTTCTTGTCTTCCTGGCAGTGTCTGACTGCCTCCTAACCCTGCCACCAGGAATACGCCCTCTCCTGGTTTCCCTCCTAACTCCCAGGACACTCTCTCTCTGACGTCTCCCTCCATTCTTTGGTGTTGTGGACTGGGATTCTATTCTCCCTGGATGCTGGCACTCCCTAACTCCTCAGCCCCCAAGGTTAGGTTAGATCTCCATCCCTCTACGTGTTCCCTTAACCTGGTCCCTCTCCTCATACAGAACTCATCACATTTTATAACTGATAACTGTCTGCTTTCTACGCTACCCTGTAAGCCAGACAAGAACCATGCCTGTCTTCATCAACACTGCACCCCTGCTGTGGCACACAGTGCTAGGCCATTGCAGGCAGGACTATGTATTTCAGGGTCCAGTGCAAAATAAAAACACAGGGCCCCTTGATGAAAAATGGAGAATTTCAAGACAGCCACAGCAGAGCATTACACCAAATATGAGGCTTCTGAGAGCAAGGCCCTGTGTGGCGCACAGGTCGCAGGCTCACAGACAGTCCTGAGTGTATCCCTTAATACTTACTGAATGGATAAATAGCTTCAATAATGAATATGCTGGTGATTCTGGACAACCATTCTAGCACACGCATCTCTGTTGTGCTTGGCCTGGAACAGCCAACGACCAACAAATATATCCACTTGGATATATTCACTGGCAGCTCATACTTAATAAAGTTCAAAATTAACAATCCTGTCTTCTAGCATTCTCTATCGCTGGGAACAACACAATTTTCCACCCAGTTGCCCATCCCAGCAGACAGCCAGCCATGCTAGACTCCTCACTTTTCTCACCCCACATGTCCAAACAGGCACCCAGGCATGTAGATTTCACCTCCTCAGCAGCACACAAATCCCTCTCTTTTCTTGATTCCTGTTAGGGCCTTGGTTCTGGTTTCTATCAGAGCTTATCTGCGTGACTCAGGAGCTCTCCACTGCTCCTCAGCCCCCTGTTCTGCCCTCCACTGCCTCGTGTTCATAAGGTCACAAAGGTGATGTTAAAGCACCGTTCTCATCATGCCACACCCCCTACCTAAAGCCCTGTGATGGATCCCCAGCTTTTCCAGTTTCCTTCAATATCTGGTTCTTCCCTGTATTTTTAGCTTTAGCCTCACGCTTGCTACTTCTTTCACATCTGCTTCTCCCTTCTCTGAGTCAGCTCTGAACACCTTCTGTTATCCTCCTGGCCTACCCTCTGTGCCCCTGCTCTGTGACCCCATGACGTCGTATGCCTATCTGTACCCCGCCTAGTTATTGCTATGACTGTGGGCTTCCATGGATATCTTGAACTACCCCGCGGATATTTTCCAGGCAGAGTCTATGCTGCTGTCTCTGCATCTCCAGTGCTCAGTCCCTGGCACATGGCAGACATGCAGCAACTGCTTGCGGATGGGTAAGCGACTAAGTAAATGAAGACGGACCTGGACTTGAGTGGATGAACAGAAGAATCCAGAAATGAGGGCTCTAAGTAGGACTTTTCTTAGCAGCAACATCATGTAACATATAATCTGAGCCCTTAAAAATCCATACACATTTTTGTTGGTTTTGCTAAAAGACAGCAGGCCTAAGAGGCAATGTTCTGGCTGGGTCGCCACTGAGAAGTGCCTTGAAATACAAGGGGAAACAAGGCAGAGCCTTTCCCCTTAGCGGGCAAGGGAGGGAGAGGGCAGCGAAGACAGTGGCCCACCACGTTTACTTTGCTTTCTAATTTCAAGTTCACACACAATGAGGTATCTGCGTTCTATGACAATATGACTGCTGGGGCAAGCCCAGTTTACTACTTTCTTAAATAGACAATTATATCCAAATCCAACTATGCACAGAACACTTTTCACTTCTGTTTGAACTACCAAGCTCTTCCTTTAAGAGGCATCCATGGATTAAAGATGACAGCATGTTTGACTGCCAACCTTCCCAGCGCCTACATCGCGATGCCTCTTCCTATGTGATCCTTGGCTTCCTTTTGATCTTTCTCTCTTTCATCCCTCTGATCTTGGGATCAATTTGTCAGAGTGCTGGTCTCCAATCTGGAGTGGGGCAATGAGAGGAAAGGGGTTTCAAAGCAAACGAAGTGCATGTGAAAGCTGACAAATCTCATACTCAACCATCAGGAAAGCAGAGAAATGTCTTTAAAGCTACGGTCTCTCATCACAGGACCCCTGTACTTCCCAACTTATATTTCATTATTTTATGAGATGCTTTTCTTAAAGAAAATTAAGAAAATACAAAAACCAAAAGCTGTGGCAGCGAGGTGCAGGAGAGCTACGTACACGCTCTGACTTTCAGTCTGGGGCCTCAGGCCTGGA